CGGGCGCGGGGGTAATTAGGGGGGGGCGCACCCCCCGCCGCCTTTTCCCGGTTTTTTTTTCCTGGGGTTTTTCCTTTTGGGGGCGGCCGGGGGGGGGGAGGGGGAGCCTGCGATGTCCGCTCCCAGGAATGGCTTCTACCGCCAGGAGGTCACCAAGACCGTCTGGGAAGTGAGGGAGCGCTACCGGGAGCTGCAGGCGGTGGGCTCCGGAGCCTACGGCGCGGTCTGGTAAGTGGGTCGCCGAGGCTCACGCCAGGCGCCCCTAGTTGCGGGCGGAGGAAAGAGCCCTGAGGGCGGCGCTGCGCTGCTGGAGCGTGGAGTCTGGCCCCGTCGAGGAAGGGAACAATGGCCACTTCGCAGCGCTTCTTCGCCCCCTGGCCTGTTCCGCGGCAGCGGATCCCGGAGGAATGCCAACCCTAGCGCGTTTCCTTCCCCAGTCCTGCGATTGGACCTGCTGTACCCTATTCACACGATACGCTCGACCTGGGTACTGAGGGGATCCGCTTTCTGGGTTCGCTCACTACTTTGCATCAACCGGGGTGTCTTGACGCCAGTAATCAAAATTAACAGCAACATTAATCAAGTTAGGATGCTGTGCAGATTGTTTTTTTTTATTTTATTAGCGTGTCGTGTGAATACAGCATTTCTTTTCCTTCTCCGCCCCGCCCCAGTTGAAACACGCTCCCCCGTGCGTTGAAATTGAACCCAGAATCAGTGAGTGATGTTGGCAAGACCTCGGATGGCTTGAAAGACGGAATCTTTTAACTTGTCCTCTTTTACTATGTTATACAGTATAGAAATAATGGGGAGGGGAGAGAGAAAAGTCACTGCGTAATTTTGGTCGGGGAGGGTGGTCAGTTGCAAACATTAGACATAACATCTTTGGGAGATGGGGAAATCCGAAACAGCCTTGGGCAGCAAACAACAATTTTGCAAAAATGTGGCTGCTTTTGTATGCAATGTTTAACTTTTTTTTCCCAGAAATGTTTTTGCAACACATGCCATTTTGACTAACTGGAAGTGACTCAGTCTTTTGACTTCTTTGCTGCTGGTAAAAAAAGAAAAAAGAAAAAAGTCAAATTTTCTGCTGGAGACCCAGTTCCAAGTAACTTATAGGCAACAACCTAGACTGATCTGATAAAAATTAAACAAGCTTGATCTGGTTATATGGATGGGAGACCACAAGGAGATACTATAGCTATAGGCTAGACTGGGAAGTTGAAAAAGCCTTTCAGAGAAATGCAGTGGCAAATTGCTTCTGTATTACTGCCAAAATGCTATATGGATGTGTCCATGAAATCCCATTACTTCCTCTCCTTTCTTTCTTCTTCCCTGTCCCTTTTAATGCTTTGTTCTGTCATTTCCATAAGCAATTACTGGCTTTCTCTCTTCTGCTGATTCTGAAATGGGAATAGGAAAAATGGATGTTTTACTTCCTCTGGCAGGTGGCATGATGGTTGATGTAATCAGCAATTTGAATGTGTGACAAAGCTGTACTTCTGGGACCAGTTATATTTCTGACAGAGATTTTGGAACATAAAATACTAGAGTCTTGATTTTAATCTTCAATTGTTTTGGAGCCTATTCTGCTTTTTCTGTTCAGGGTAGCCTTATGACCTGGCCAGGTGGATACCTCTCTGGCTCATTTTGGTGTAGTTTGTTCATTGAGTGAACTAAATGGAAGTGAATTTAGGTGGAGAAAAAGCTTCAAGTGGTCTGAATGGGATTAACTAGAAAAATAAATAATGTTGGGCCCCTTTAAATTTTCCAGTTTGAAGCCATGCATTCTAAATCGAAAGAAGCTGAACTGAGCAATGTGTGAAGCAGTGTTACTGAATAATAACAATTGAAAAGAGTAATTTTTGTAGCTGTGACAATACCCAGGAACAGCAGATATGAAAAATGGGAAAAATTACAAAATACTGAGTTTAAACAGTAAATAAAAATAATTTAAATTTTTTTGTGAAGTCATTTCTGTAGTTATTGATGCATTAGGCAGAATACCAAACAGATTTAATAAATGTTTACAAGCACTAAATATTTCAACTATATCAACTGGATTTACCAAATGCTCCACATTGCTGGGCACATGTTCTATCTTAGGATATAAATATACTTGGATCTACTATGTATGTATGTATGTATATGTGTGTGTGTACACACACACACACATTCTTGGATACACTTGGCTAATTCCTAGTTCTGGCTAGAACTTGAATTTCTAAAGAATACCAATCAAAGGTGTGATTCTTTTTGTTTATACTGTGTTACTCCTTGAATTTAAGCAAAATAATAATAGAGCCCTAACAGATGTAAAATGATTGAAGAGTTCAAAGGGATACAAAGATTGGAAAGGCTTCCTAGGTTGGCATCACTTGTGCATTTTACTGTCTAAAAGGGAGTCATTGCATCCCTTAACTCCTCCAGCCCCAACCCTACAAAGGACAAGAAATTTAGGCCCATCCACTCAGGTGAGTCTAAATAAGTGCAATTGAAGTAGCAGCCTGCAGCTTCAGAAAGGTTGCCTACCTCTGACCTATAATCTTCCATATATCCAAGCTCTATAAGCTACGAAGAATCTTACCCTTCTGAAAATGATTTCAAACTGCTTGAAGAACAGGTGGCAGTTGTGGCTGGGTGGATCTCTGCACGGTTGCACCTGGTGCATCAGCTACAATCTTTTCTTACAGTCACTCATGCTTTCCTCACACCTGTTTGGATTATTGCAATATGCTTTCTGTGGGACGGTCCTTGAAACCACCTGGCAGCTTCAGCTGGTCCAGAACGTAGCAGCTTGAGTAGTCATGAGAACACCTAGGGTCCCTCATGTAACACCTCTTTTGAGAACTACTGCTTATCAGTTTCCTTGTGAGTGCAAGTCAAGGTGCTGGTTGTCACCTTTAAAGCCCTACACAGCTTAGGGCCTGGGTGTCTACAGGATCTTCTCCCAGTGGCTTCTACCTGTCCAATAAGACCTAAAAGAATATCTCCATCCTCCTCAGGAATGTCATCCCCAGGGACTAGTGTTCTCAGTTGCCCTGTTTTGAAACAGCGTTCCCCTTCAAGTTTAGACTGCCTTGAATTCTGTTGGCTTTTTGGAACATATCAGTATATGGCCTTGGAAGTGGGAGGGAGTGGTAAGCCCTCTTGTTATGGGTTGTGTGTGTTGTTTGGCTGTTCCTCAGGTGCTGGGGTTATTGTAGAGGAGAATGTAAGTCACTCAGAATCCTTTTGGGTTGGAGTGGCATATGGCCACCAATAAATAATAAATTTTGTGGTTGAGCGTGTCTTACCTCCCATTTCTAACCATGTTAAAAGTTTGGTTGAATTAAGTCCAGATATTAGTTTGGGGGCAGTTACTGTGGTACACTAAGTTTCAAAAGATGCTTTTCTTAGGAGAAGCCTTCAAGTCAGGGTTTGTACTTGTTTTTTCTTAGCAATGAGGCCCCTGCGCTGTTCTACTTAGCTACAGAAAGTGGCATATGCACGATGCATGTACAGAAAGGGCCACTGGCTCAAGCAAAGCCATGTGTGAACCATCAAGGCAGGGTGTGTTGTGTCTCTCTCCCACGCAAAACATGATCTTAAATAGTTACCCCCTGCTGAAGGATCCTAATTCTTTGATAAAAGTGTCTGTTTCTCATGCAGAAGTTCTCTGGCTCCACTTAAAAAGATTTGATGGAAGGTGATGGAAAAGATGTGTCAGTGCCAGTTAGAGAAATGATACAGCTTGAGCAGTTTCTTACATTTCTTGTTACAATATGACTCTATAACTGACAAACTTATAAATAAGCAAACCTCTTGCCACAGCAATAGTTAGAGCAGGTCAGAAGCAGCTTCATAAGTGAAGCCATCCTCATTAATTCATAGACACCTTTGTAGCACAATAGGAGCTGAATCTTTCCACCTTACTAAGTTGATACTATAGACCATTGGTTCTCAACGAGGGCAGTACCGCCCCCCCGGGGGGGGGTGGGAGGGTGCTGAGGGGCGGTGAACTTGTTTTGGGCAGGAGGGGGGCGGTGGGCATGTTTTGGGC